TTCCAGGTGTATATAATCATGTATCTCTCCTGCCTGCATTCCAAGGAATACAGGTTCAGGAACCTCAAGCGCTCCCAGTAATTTAGGTGTTTTATCTCCGTTATGTGCGCCCTGAAGGTTCTCTGTACATTTTCTAGGTCAGCAATTTCACCTGCCTTGAAAGGTGCTGTTAGTGTACAGCAATATTCCAGCATAGATAAAACAAGTGACCTGAAGAGTGTCATCATGGGCTTGGCATCCCTAGTTTTGAAGGTTCTCATTATCCATCCTGTCTGTGAGGGAAAAATTCAATAGATAGGCATAGCGAGGGAGTATATATTAACAATAGTTTCATTGCCGGCTACTTGTTAAGGTAGGGTAAGTCAAGCTCCCGCTATTCCCGCCTTTTTCTCCCCCTCCCCGAAAGTGATAGTTTGACTGCCGGCTGCTTGTTAAGGTAGGGTCAGTCTAGCTCCCGCTATCCCTTCCCCTCCTTCTTCCCCCCCCCCGAAAGGTGACGTGTGGGGCTCTGGTCAAACAGTAAATCACTCGACTCACAGCTCCCAACACTACTGTAAGTACATGCCTGCCTTGTATTCTAGTGGATTTATTGGTTGAAAGCTTCACTTTTGACCAATAATAAACTTAGTCTTTTCAGCCTTGCTCTAAGTTGACTGTTGTAATAATCACCATGTCTTTTAGGTATTGTACTTATGGAGAGTGATTATTTAAGCAGTGGGTAACCTGTCTATCTTTTCAGCTTGGATGACAGAGAGGGTCACCTGTCAATCAACGAGAAGAACGAATGGAGATGGACTAACATCCTGAGACGTCCCCTTTTTGGATTTAATTACCTGTGCACCTGTATGAAATTGCAGGACGTAACCCCACATCATTGCAGCGGTAAAGAACCTGCTTTCCTGTCATCGGGATATAATACTCACGGCTATACTGTGAAGAACTAGCCAGTGGGTCATAACCAACACCTGCTACCCCCCCCCCATCATCAGCAACGGCTACGATTTCAACAACACACAGTGTCACCAACACCAGACACCCCTATATATATTAGCGTTGAATTCAGTTATCATTTATATTTTTCATTTTTCATTTTCTTTAATGTAGGATTAATATTTCATATTTAAGTGTTTTATATTTTATATTTTCTATATAATAAAGTGTTTATATAAAGTTTGTCTGTTATTATTTCTTTTTCTATTCATTAATTTTCCTGAGGAGGAGCCAGCCTTGGTAATACTGTCTGAAGTTGTTACAGGGCTGAGTAAGCCTTCACACTGTCATTTTTCTAGCAGATGCGATTGATACAATGTTATGGTCCTTGAAGGTGAGATCCTCCGACATGATCACTCCCAGGTCTTAGACGTTGGTGTTTCGCTCTATTTTGTGGCCAGAATTTGTTTTGTACTCTGATGAAGATTTAATTTCCTCGTGTTTACCATATCTGAGTAATTGAAATTTCTCATTGTTGAACTTCATATTGTTTTCTGCAGCCCACTGAAAGATTTGGTTGATGTCCGCCTGGAGCCTTGCAGTGTCTGCAATGGAAGACACTGTCATGCAGATTCGGGTGTCATCTGCAAAGGAAGACACGATGCTGTGGCTGACATCCTTGTCTATGTCAGATATGAGGATGAGGAACAAGATGGGAGCGAGTACTGTGCCTTGTGGAACAGAGCTTTTCACCGTAGCTGCCTCGGACTTTACTCTGTTGACTACTACTCTCTGTGTTCTGTTAGTGAGGAAATTATAGATCCATCGACCGACTTTTCCTGTTATTCCTTTAGCACGCATTTTGTGCGCTATTACGCCATGGTCACACTTGTCGAAGGCTTTTGCAAAGTCTGTATATATTACATCTGCATTCTTTTTGTCTTCTAGTGCATCTAGGACCTTGTCGTTGCTCCAATAGTTGAGACAGACAGGAGCGACCAGTTCTAAACCCATGTTGCCCTAGGTTGTGTAACTGATGGGTTTCTAGATGGGTGGTGATCTTGCTTCTTAGGACCCTTTCAAAGATTTTTATGATATGGGATATTAGTGCTATCGGTCTGTAGTTCTTTGCTGTTGCTTTACTGCCCCCTTTGTGGAGTGGGGCTATGTCTGTTGTTTTTAGTAACTGTGGGACGACCCCCGTGTCCATGCTCCCTCTCCATAGGATGGTAAAGGCTCGTGATAGGGGCTTCTTGCAGTTCTTGATGAACACGGAGTTCCATGAGTCTGGCCCTGGGGCAGAGTGCATGGGCATGTCATTTATCGCCTGTTCGAAGTCATTTGGCGTCAGGATAACATCGGATAGGCTTGTGTTAATCAAATTTTGTGGCTCTCTCATAAAAAATTCATTTTGATCTTCGACTCTCAGTCTGGTTAGCGGCTTGCTAAAAACTGAGTCATATTGGGACTTGAGTAGCTCACTCATTTCCTTGCTGTCATCTGTGTAGGACCCATCTTGTTTAAGTAGGGGCCCAATACTGGACGTTGTTCTCGACTTTGATTTGGCATAGGAGAAGAAATACTTTGGGTTTCTTTCGATTTCATTTATGGCTTTTAGTTCTTACTGCGATTCCTGACTCCTATAAGATTCCTTTAGCTTAAGTTCGATGCTTGCTATTTCTGTGACCAGTGTCTCCCTACGCATTTCAGATATATTGACCTCTTTTAGCCCCTCTGTTATTCTTTTCCGTCGCCTGTAAAGAGAGCGCCTGTCTCTTTCTATTTTACGTCTACTCCTCGTTTTTCTTAGAGGAATAAGCCTTGTGTCCCATCATTTCATTTACTATCTTTCCCTACAGTTCCTTTCCTCACTGCACTTCATGCAGAAATTACCTCATGCCTGTGTAGTCCCCTCTTTTATAGTTTAGCTTCTCGTGTTCTTCTCGTACTGCTTCACTCTCCATTGTTAACTCTACAGTGTATTTGAAGATCATGACCATGAGATCACTATGTCTGAGCGGTTTTTCGTATGTGATATCTCTAATGTCTGAACTACTCAAGGTGAATACGAGGTCTAGCCTTGCTGGTCCGTAACATGCTGATGCATAAGGTTTTCCAGTAGCACTACATCATCTTGGCCCTCCACGCTTCTGGTCTCCCAGGTGGCTTCAGGTTTCCCGTCAATCTCTTTGTGACTGAAATCACCCATGTTACGCAGGGTGCTGCAGAAAAAATATTTTATAAAATAATGCTCCATAGTTCCAGGATTGTACTGAATCCGAACGCGTTTTATTCCTGGTCGGTTATTGTGGCCAGGAAAGGAGCAGATGAGGTGTTTAGTTCAGTAGTAGACAGGCGGTGATGGGTGAAGTCATCATGGTTTGGCCGGTAATGTGAGTAGGTGATTTTGGTAAGTTTTTTAGTGTATACTATAACTTTGGTAGGGTTTAAGGGCCTGTGTTCTGGAGAATATTTAACTGTAGGCTAAGTAGCCTGCAGGAAGGAGGGAGGTGTCATGAAACCTCCGTTTATATATTTTGTCTACTCGCTAGCAGCAGTGAGCTAACGTGAACCAGAGTAAAGGTGATGTTGTAGTGGAGTAGACTGTAAGTTGTATATAAGTTACTATTATTATTTTATAAGTATTTTTGTATTAGGCGAGTTTTTCTTGCCCTTCCATATACTATATTAATTATTTGCACTCATGCTTCATAATTTATATGAGTACATGCCGGCCCGAGAGTTGCTGTGTTTTTCAGTATGATTTAAATGCCCCTACACAGCAGACTGAGTAGCCATTTAGGAGCCAGGACATTTTATTTTAAATTACGACATCAGCCATAACAACCCACAACTAGTAACTTTACCCTAACCATACGGGCCTTTCTGGCCACCTCATCTAGTGTGTCCATCATTGCTTTGTTGCTCTCATCGTACTCTTGGCTTGGCCTCCTGCTATTCTGTTGAGGGTTTGTACATCACTGCAATCACGACCTTGGGATTCCCAGTCTGAATTGTTCCTACTATGTAGTACTTTGCTTCCCTTCTGTCCATTCCCTCCAACTCTTCAGAACTCCACATGTTTTTGATGAGCAGTGCAACTCCACCCCCCCCTCTGTCTTTTCTCAGGATCTGATATCCGATTGGAAAGATCACATCCGTTATCAACCCCATGGAATTTGTCTACGTGAGTGCTATGATGTCTAGGAATGCCTCCATGATTCTTTCGTGCCATTCCTCACACTTATTTGTTATTCTGTCTGCATTTTTTGTACCATACCTTCAGATTCTTTTCCAATATTCTATTCTGGGGCCTGGGGAGTGAGAGACCTGCATGGTTGCGATAAAATAGACTGAAAATATTCCTTCTGTTAGGCCAGTAATAGCGTGAATGAAAATAAAAAATATTTAGTTGAATTTTTGCATTAAACTACATAAAAAGTACTTCTAGGGAAAGAGGTAATCGAATTGGGCTGTAAGCTGGAGAAGAGCCCTGGCTTCTGAAGGGCTGGACTAACAACAACGTCCACTTTACTGACAACATTTCTTAACCCAGCCTGCACACCACATATAAGCCATTTCCACAGATCCCTGTCACTCCCCCCACCACAACCAAGCCACTACCTCAGCCACTGTGACAAGGTGTAGACAGAGAGCTTTGCATGTGTCGTTTATGTTGTCTCACCCCAGTTGCCTTTATTCCCTCGCCCATTCTGTCATGGACGGCACATTATGTAGCACACTGCAACACAATACCTTGCAGTTATGTCTAGCCCAGGGTCTTTCCCTTCCCTATCTGACCCTCCACCATCCCCACTGTTCTTTCATACCCACATTCATCTAGCACCTTATGGGTCCTTACCCGAGAGTCAATCCCACTCGAGGGAAAAGTATTTGATAAAACTGCTATAATTGTTTTTGTAATTATTATATTAAATCAATTATAAAAATTGGACGTTATGAGTGTCGATGTATTCGTGTGTCAATACACTAATAGTTCAAGTAGGTAAATATACACATAAACTTTTCCATCCTCAATCATAAACAAAAGAATAATATATAGTACTTACGCGTACAGCAGGATGTGCCAGGAGGACAGTCATCCCTGTAAGTCAAGGCATCACCGCAAAAGTTGGAGTCCTTCACACACTTTCCTCCTCCCCGTACACACTGTAGCCCAGCAACCTCCTCCTTGTCTTCCTGCAGGAGAGTTTTGACAACCTCACTTCTTTGTACTGATCACCATTTGATCACAGTTTGACAATCACTACTATAGCATCAGTGATTAAAGATATGATAAATTTTATCGGGATTTAAACATTAAATTTCTATAATATGAGTGATAGCATCAATGGAGAAGATCAAGTTTGTAATATAAGAGTGAAAATCGTATGTTTTTAGCAGCAGAACGGAGAAATCAAGTGTTAGCGATTATAGCACAAGGTCTGGTTTCTAATATCAGAGTAAAAATATTAGATACCGGGACCAGATGGAATGGATTAGGTTTCCGATAAAAAGATGGGAAGCTCAGGTTCAAGGTTTCTTGGTGAGAGCGTCAGGTTTCTATTGCAACTGTGGATAACAATGTGCTAATATAACTATGATGTGAAAACCACAACTTGCAGCTGCATTATTAAGGGAATAAGTTTTTTAATACTAGAGCTTAAATTTCTGGTACCAATAGATAAGCACAGTTTTTTTTTCAGGGACTAATGTGCAGATACTATGGTTTCTGGTACCAGTGTGTAAATACTATCTATGGTTCATAGCACCAATGTGTAAGCACTATAGTGTCTAGCGCCAATGAGTGAGCTCTAAGGTTTCTTGCACCGTGTGTATCACTATGGTCTCTAGTACCAGTGTGTGAGCACTGTGGTTTCCAGCACCAGTGTGTGTATCATTATTCCCGGCGTCGGTATAAAAACTGGACCAAGCACAAATAGCATAGGTGAGGTATGGATATATAAGTGAATGGTATAGTGTGATAAGGGCATTTTGCGGCACGTAGTATCGTATCTTTGGAGAGGATCCCAACCGTTTTGGATACTTTTTTGGTTATGTGTTGGATATGGGTGCTGAAATTCAGGTTGTTGTCAAGGTATAGGCCTAGGAATTTGCCCTCATTATGTTTGGTAATTGGAGTGTTGTAGATCTTAATGTTAATTTGCGCAACTCCTGCTCTGCTACCAAACATAATATAGTAGGTTTTGTCAGTGTTAAGCGTAAGTTTATTGGCTGTCATCCAAGTCGATATTTTGATCAGCTCCTCGTTAACAATGGTGTTGAGGGTGGCAAGATTAGGGTGAGAGATGACATAAGTCGTGTCGTCAGCAAAGAGAATGGGTTTCAGGTGTTGGGATACGTTTGGAAGATCATTGATGTATATGAGGAAGAGCAGGGGACCAAGGACACTTCCCTGCGGAACTCCAGTATCAAGTGGCCGTGTTGTTGATGCTGTGTCTTTAATGGTGACGTATGATACCTATTAGTAAGGTAAGATTTGAAATATGCAAGCGCATGGCCTCTTATACCGTAATGGTCAAGTTTGTGGAGTAGGATGCCGTGGTCTACTGTGTCAAAAGCTTTTCTTAGGTCAATAAAAATTCCCAGTGGATATTCCTTATTTTCCAGTGCTGTGTAAAGCAGAACTAGCATTTTTATGATTGCATCATTAGTGCTTTTATTTTTCCTGAATCCAAATTGGCAGGGGTTGAGTATGTTTTGTGCCGTTATAAATGAATCTAGTCTCCTGTGCACGAGTTTCTCAAAGATTTTGGATAGCAATGGTAAGTTTGATATTGGCCTATAGTTGTTTAAATCTGTAGGGTCACCACCTTCATGTATTGGTGTAACCCTTGCCGTCTTGAGTAGTTTCGGGAAGGTGCTAGTTTCTAGTGACTTGTTAAAAAGTAATGAAATAGCATGTGAAAGGACATGGGCCGCTCGCTTGTACAATAATGGTTGGACATGAGACAGATTCCCTAAGTTATTTTTAAGTGACTTCATAATCTTGGTGACTTCCGTGGGCTCAGTAGGTGCAAGATAGAAGGAATTTGGGAAATTCCCATCTAGGTAGTCCCCAGCATGGGCATTGGTACATGGGATTTTATTGGCAAGATTAGATCCTATGGTTGTTTATCTTGTTAGCTGTGTCATTGGGATGCAGTGGTGTTTCATTAGGTTTAGTTAGGACAATATTCTTGGGTTTTTTTCAGTTTATTGGTCCCTAGAATCTGAGAGAGTGTTTTCCAGGTCTTTGTTTATATCTCCTCTTGTGTCTGTCAATCTACTGGAGTAGTATAGTTGTTTGGCTTTCTTTATTACTTTGGTGAGAACTGATGAATAGTGTTTAAGAATATCTTTGTGTATTAAGCCCTGTCTATATTGCTTTTCATATTGGTGTTTCTTATCAATGGATTTCAGAATGGTGCTGGTTAGCCATTGGCAAAAAAATCGTTTGTTTGTGATCTGTTTCGTTTTTATAGGACAATGTTTGTTGTATAGTCTAAGTAATTTGTTAAGAAAAATGTTTGTCCAGTCGTCAATACCATTGGCCTTGGAGAATTCTGTAGGCCAGTCAACAGTCTCTAGGTCAGCTGTGAAATTCCTTATTGAGGCCTCGTCATGGAGTCTAAATGAAACTTTGTTGTATTCGAGTAGTGGCTTACTAATGTTTGTCAAGAGGAAGGTAGGGTAGTGGTCTGTAGTGCTATCTGTGATTATCTCTGATTTAAGTGGGGCTAGTATATTGGTCCATATGTGGTCTATTATGGTTGCACTTGTCTCAGTCATCCTGGTTGGTTTAGTTATTGTTGGTATGAGAAGTGTGTTGTTCATATTGTTGATGAAATCAGTTACAGGCTGATCATCTAGTAGGCCAAGGTTGATGTTGAAGTCTCCAGCTAAGAGAAGGTGGTGCTTATTCATTTGTCTGTTTGTTATTAGTGCCTTTTATTTCTCACTGAAATTTGGGATGTTTGTGTGGGGTATCCGGTAAATGGCACGGTTAGGTTAGGTTAGGTTTTTTACAGTAAAATTAGTAGAAATGTATTCCCAGTATTCATCACTAAAGCAACTGGTGCTAATACAAGATAACTGGTTAGAATAATAGATTGCAATACCACCCCCAACTTGGTATGGTCTGCAGTTGTGAATTGCTGTGTATCCTGGTAGAGGGTAGATATCTATTGTGTCCTGCTTAAGCCAGGTCTCAGTAAGAATAATGCAGGAGAAGGGTGTCTTTAGTGATTCAAGGAGTTGCAGGAGGTCATCATAGTGTTTGCTTAAGGACCTGATGTTGTAGTTAAGTACTGATAGACTTTTAGCATTGTTTAGGATAGTGCTGGCTTGTGATGCTGTGTAATAAAGGCAGTTACTTTCCAATAGGTTTTGATTGGGTGTCAGATTATGGAGGTTTAGATCAGGGTCAATGTGATCAGTCATCTAGGTTTAAATTATGGTTATTTATATCTTGAGTTGTGTGTTGAGTTCTAGTACTGATATCTGTAGTGGTAGGAAGTTTGGACAAGTGTATAGCTAGAGTATTTTGGTCATATAGAGTATAGTCACTCTAATAGGAAGGAAACAGAAGTAATATTGTATTACATTCCGTCAGAAGCATCAACTATATATTGCTTAAGTCAGTTAAAACTTAATTGATATTACTTAAAATAAGTGATATATATTTTTGTCGTTATGCTCAGATTTATTTCCAATGACTCTTAGGAAAAACAAATTTTTGTTCTTCTACTTCGGCAGAGGACGCCCATGCTGAGTAGGTCAAACTCTTCAGTTCAGATTAATAGGCACAACTTATTCATGTCTATTATATATATATATATATATATATATATATATATATATATATATATATATATATATATATATATATATATATATATATATGTCGTGCCGAATATGTAAAACTGGTCAATTAGCAAGAACTCATTTAAAATTAAGTCCTTTATGAAATTTTCTCTTATACGTTTAAAGACATATTTTTTTCATTAATGTTAATGTAAAAATTTTTAATCTTGCATCAAAAGAATCTTAGAAAACTTACCTAGCCTTATTATAACAAGAACAATTTATTTTAGCCTAACCCAACTAAATATATTTTAAATATGTTTACAATAATTTAGTACTAAACAAACACAATCAAATACATTTTTTTTGTTAGGTTCAAAATGATTTTGGCGAAATTATTGCATACACAAATTTTCACTTGTCCTATATGGCAAGATGAACGTTGCTATTTAAGCCAAGATCGCAAGTTCTGCCTATTCGGCACGACATCCAAGGAAGCTATATAAGGGGTCTGGCCAGCACCTCACTATCAGATCCCACAACGGTTAAACACCTGACGCGCGCCGACCCAACTTGGATAGGTCCTTTGCACAACTCACCCACAAACTATTCTACCCAAGAAAATTTACAAATTATAATTTGTCCAGTGTATTATTAAATTCTTCCCAAATTCTATTAATTATAAATGGATCTAATTTATATAAACCAAAGGAAATATTCATATTATTGTCAAAACTGCTTTTTATGAAACAAGATTCAATTATATTCCTGTCGACCATGGACTTGCTTGATACAACTTTCTCAACTTTTTGAAAATCAATATGCCAGTATGCCAGACATGAGGAGATCAATGACATAATAAAGAGAAGCCTCGCCACAGCCCGTTGCCCAGCTCAACGGGAACCCCAAGTACAGAGGTCTGATGGAAGTCAAAAGCGTCCTGATGGAGCCACTATGCTACCCTGGAAGGATGGAAAGCAGATTGCCTGGGACTACACCTGTGCTGTCACATTGGCAGACACCTACTTGCCATACTCTGTAGTGGAAGGGGGTGGAGCTGCCAGCCACAGGGAGACCCAGAAGATCCGAAAATATGAAGACCTTCCCCCTTGCTATAACTTCATTCCAATAGGGTCGGAGACCCTTGGAGCATGGGGCAAGTGTGCTCTAAAGTTCCTCAAAGAGCTGGGTGAAAAGCTCATCACAGAAACCAAGGACCACAGGGCGACCAGCTTCCTCTTTCAGAGACTCAGTGTTGCGATCCAGAGAGGAAATGCCTGCAGCATTCTGGGCACGCGGCCCACCGCCGGGGAGCTGGACGAAGTATTCGAGATGTAGCTCTGAGTTACCTATGTTTGTTTTACTTTGTATCATATTTTTGTGAAT